CTCAGAATACTGAAACCGCTTGAGCACCGCTCATTGATCGATAAAATAACCCCATGGGCAATGAGTAAGACCCATACCATTACCCAGTTCAGGCCGAACATTTTCACCCTGGCTGTGTGAAACACTGTTGATGTGGTTAGCTCCCTTAGGATGCTACTTATTCCCTTAGGATGCTACTTATTGGGAATGACGCTTCTAACCTCTCCTCAGACTCGCTGTCCCTGGGGATTATACACTATATGACTTTGGTGTTGGACCCCAGCACGCACGGCGTTTTACTTTGTGTTCCCCTAGCGTAAGATATTATGCAGTGCGAGAGAACCTCTCGTAAGAGAACGTACTCGGTTACTAACGTAACCTCGGTTCTCTCTAGAAGAGGGAACAAGTACTGCGTATCTTTGCCGTGCCTGCAACATGCTCTGGTTCGCTTCGGCGATGAAAAAACAGATTATATCAGCCCATCGAGGTGTATTTATAGCCCCAGGCCACGCCCGTCTCGGCGGGACGTGACGTAGTGGGCGCGAAGCGCCCCCATTGGATCTGACGTCACCAAGGACCTTTCTCGATAGGCTCCTGCAGTTGCCGCAGGACAGCCAATAGACACGCGAGCCGTCTTGCCTATGTCTGCAGCATGCTGCCGCAACGCGTTTTACATTAATTCAAAATTAAGGATAATTTTTGGCTTCAATATCTCGTGGAAAAGAAGTTTTCCTGTGGCGTAAGATATTACGCAGTACTCGTTTCCTCTTCTAGAGAGAACTGAGGTTACGTTAGTAACCGAGTACGTTTTATGCCAACTTTAACATACTAAATTTTCATTTGAAAATCATCTATGTAAAATGTACACTAGTTATTTGGACTGAGGAGGCTACACATTAAAATGAATCAGAGAGCTGCGCTGACTGAACATATACAGACTTCAAAGAACATCCTGAAAAGCAGATGAGATGGACTGAGCTGGATATTCACCAGTTATGATTTGTCTTAATTATTCTTTGTAACATTATCTTTCCATGTTTATTTTTACTACTTTCCAGTCATTCTGAATTTATTCCTATCATCATTCCATTTTTATTTTCATCCTTAAAGAATAAAATAAAAGGGGTGGGATGAAGGTCAAAGTTTTTGTAATTAAATTATATGGTTAGAGGTTTCTTGTTCAAACGACCTCTAACATATATGTGAAAACTCAAAGAAGGGAATCACCAGGAAGGTTTATTTTAGAACAAGTATGTTTTTATTTTCTCAGTTTTATGTGGCCCAATCATTGTCAATTACCATACATATGAGGAAATTTAAAAAAGCCTCAAATCCCAGAAGTCAGCCACGCAGAATTGTTTGAGGGACTGAGAGCACAACAAGCTGACCAGTGTTTGACTCGACAAGACAAACAGAATGTTTATTTATTTTCGCTCTATTCCAGTTCAGCTGTAAAACAGAAGCTGCCACTTGAAATCATACTATTTACTATGTGACCATGATAGAAGAGTAGTTTTGTTTCTGTTGTCAAGTCAGGTTTATAATATCTACTGTTAAACAGCTGGCTTTTACTTCAGGGAAGCCATAACGTACAGTACTACAAACAATATGATGTATGACCATCTGACGTCATGAAGCCTCCACCTGCCAGTCCTCTTTATCACGTACACTCATCAGTCACCATCAGGAAAGTGCAGCAGCCCTTCATGCTCTGCTGTTACTGTAACCAAATCAAGCTCACTAATGGATGTCTAAACCGTATGGAGAAGAGGGCCCGAGGCTTCAAACAGACTTTCAATTACTTCTGCACTGGTTACTTATGTCTTTTGTTCGTTATCACAGCTGTCAGGTTTGTCACCACACAGAAGCACCTTTGACTGGAGACCTCATCAATGTACACTGTTACAATGTTATATTATGTGGGTTGCTTTTCCAAAGGCTAACCTGAATTATGGTCAATGACGAATGGATGTAATTGTTTGAAATTGAATTAAAAATGTACCATGTTAAAACAAACAATTAGATTTAATGACTGGTCTAACAATCAAGATTAAAAGTAATTAAAAAATATATCATGTCAAGAATATCAAAATGTTTTTTGGTTACTCTGTTTGATCTTAATAAAAGTGTCTTTTCATAAAAGTCAGACTTTCATTTTTTTTTTTTTTTTGACACACAGTCATGTGGGTCTAAAGATGTGTTATTTTAATGATTTTATGGTTTTCTTGTCACATGGCAAAATAATGACTTCCTTAATTTTGGTTATGCCACACTGACTGTCTTTTTCACCAAACAGTTGCATTACATTTTTAAGTACAATCACCTTACCTTGGCTGTATAAGTCATTTCAGTTGCATCTTGTATAACTTAAAGTTGAGTTAATGTTAAAAACATATGCTGTCATGGCCTCATTTTAACAGTGTATACTGTATAGTCTATGTGAACGTGATTTCACCAATTGCAACATGTTGATCCTGGAACACCATTCCAATCAACCAATATTTGAGGGACAAGTTTACAGTTTGTTTCAAGTTTAGGGTTACAACCAGGGTTAGGTGCTTCTACATCAGTGTTATTAACCTATCATTTCCCTTTGATTTTAGGGATACATTAGGGTAGGCTTAGGTTTAGGGATGGGGATGGGGTTAGGACTAAATTTTCAGACCGGAATGTTGTTCCAGAAATCAACAAAATGTCGACCCAGGAACATATTGCACTTGGTAAAATCACAGTTGTTTTATTAAAACTCTCATATTAGAAAGTGCTCTATAAATAAAGTAGAGTTGAGATGAGAAGTACTGATTACCTAATATTTTGATTTTGCAAATAAATAAATAAATAAATATATCACACTACACATGATCAAGATTGCCTCATTATAATATTAGGATAAAAAAAAACGTAAAATGCCTGTTTTGACATGTAACAGTCATTTTCATATATGAGTTCAGTAGTGCAAGTTTTACATCCGAGATCATCTCTATTTCAGCCAGTTTTGAAATAATGTTTGATCCTTCCTGTCATAGCAAGAACTGTCTCACCTCTGCCACCATGTGGCTCCCTGTATGTAGACAGTTTTACAAGTCAAGTTTCTAACAAACTTTTAATTCTAACAAACGTTTGTTAACAGTAACCATATAGTGAACACATTAACATCTGCACTGATGCTGTAGAGTGTGATTTTAAGAGCTATAGTACTCAGGAAACACTCAAGGGAAAAACATCAATCAATGAAGTATGCAAATGACATCTGAAGGCCCGTCATATACTGCTGGAAATGAGAAATGCATGCAGGTATTTCTGACAGCTGCACATTGAAATGACAGCTGCAGCTTTAACTGTTCGGTCCAGTGGGAGAACCTTTCAAATGAGAATCGCTGGGGATCACTCTTAAAAAGTTTATTTTTATTTTTATCATGTATAGTCCCGTGACCCTGCAGAGGATAAAGCGGTTTGGAGAATGGATGGATGTAGCAACTGGACTTAATATGTCCTTTTTGAATTGATATAAAATTATTTATAAAATAGTAAATATAAAACACATTCATACAGCATGTTAACTAGCCTGCATGTGTGCAGTTACACTGAATAGTTTAGAACCATTAGTATAGGCTAACCTACTGGACCTTATAGGACCTAATCACATTCACAATCTCAAGATTGTGTTCCCGAATTCTACAAAGAATCCAAACATAATTATTCTATCGCACAGGAATTGAAATTTAAGTTCAGTTTAAATTAAATGTAGCCTGATGCTAATGTATTAGAGGCTTTTATCCACAGAGAGATTAGCCTGTCCTTATCAACACAATTACTGCTGACATCAGAGACACCAGATCAATGCGCGGGTGATTTATTCTGTCTAGGTGAACAGAACACGTTGTCTTTTCCAGAATCACCCTCATCTAATGTTATGACTATGAGCAGCACATTAGCATTCCAATTTACCTTTCGTTATAGCTGTGTCATTTACAATGCTCTTAATTGTGTGCCTAATCAAAAATGTTCGGAAGGAAACTGAAATGTGCCTTTTCATGTTTTATTACACTTGAAGAGAACATGATCACTTTACAAGACAACAACAAAGTTCAGATGATTCTGCATTAAAACATGTTCTACATTTGTGTTGAGATTTGTGTTTTAGTTACTGACAGGTAACACATTTTCGTTCATGACAAATATCACATGCTAACGTGCAACTTATAAGATTCTAACATGCAAACTGTTTTTAGTTGTCAAATTTGATGCTTATTAAATATATTATTTCACTTTTCATTAACATTTCATGTAACTGTACAGTAAAATGTTAAATGGACCGTTTTTGGAAGTAAAAAAGAACAAATAGTCTTATAATCATCAAATCATCTTATAATTTACAGTGAAAAAGCTGTAAACGGACATTCCCCGAATTCACCGTGTGACAGCTCACACATTTGATGTTCATTTAAATAATTATGTTTTAGAATTATGTTTCAGTATCAGTTAGGTTATGTTAGATATTTTGTTAAATTAATGTTTATTGTATTATTTTAGTGTAATTTGTGTTACCATGATGGTGTTTAGTATTTGTATGTATGACACTGCATATTAGTCTTCTATAAATTAATATTTACCTCAGCTGCTTGTCATGACCTGTGATTCTTCAGGTGGCTTTTCCTCTTTACCACGTGTTATTATGGTGCATGTCAGTATATACTAAAAGTACAAAATAGATTTTAGTAGCAGCATAGACTTGCTACTTCAGCGGACAAGAGGTAAATACATTTTAAATGTTTTTCCCCTCCAAATTAGTTTTAAGTTGTAAAATTTACAGGGTGTTTGTTCAGCCACAGCTACCAGATTTGTCAAATTTCATTGCTGGATAATCAATCAAATTACAGTAATTGTTTTTCTCCGTGTACATTATTTAATTATATAATTATTCATCAGGTGTGGAACGTCATTTTCTCTTTAACACTTATTTCTGACAAAAATGGATATGAAAAAAAGGTACTTTTTTGTACAAGAGCACACCTTAAATATTATTTGAAAAAGGCTGGATCTCTATAGCTGGTCACATAGCTGTTCTGAGTGTATTCCATGACTGGCAGATGGACCTGCAGTGATGAAAAAGAGAGAGAAAAGATAGAAATGCAAATAGAAAGTTAAAGTGAGAGTTAAAGTATTTCTAACTTATTAACATAATATATCATTCAGTTATTGAATCACAAAGTACATTTTATATTTTATGTCAGCACAATTTGGATAGAAAAATAGATTGTGTAAAACGACTTATATAAACTTATAAGATAAAATATATAACAAATGTAAGTTATAACTTACCTTTGTGTGTTTTCTGAGGGAGCTGGCATGAGAGTATGATTTATAGCAGTACATGCAAATGTATTGTTTGTCAGATGAGTGGACACGTATGTGCTTTTGTTTATCACTGCTGTTTGCAAAACGCCTTTCGCAGGCCTCAAAAGGGCATCTGAAAGGTTTTTCACCTGGAACAAAAGATTTTAAAAATGAAATGATATCATGAGAATTAAAATCCCTTCATGTAACATCAACAAAAATATGGTAAAAAAGCAGGAATAACAAATAAAGTGTCACCTGTATGTGTCCTTTCATGAATTTTCAGGTTTTCCGCCCGTGCAAACTCTCTTCCACATCCGAAGGAGCACTGAAAGGGCTTTTCACCCGTGTGGACTCTCAGGTGATTGATCAGTTTGTACTTGGCCTTGAATGGATTCCTTTGACGGGAACAATCTTCCCATAAACATATGTAACTGGTTTGCCCTGACACATGCTCCGCTGTCAGATGAGAGATGAGCTCCTTCATTGTGCAGTAGGTTTTCTTACAGCACTGTTGCTCCAGCCACTGGCAGGTGAACCTCGACATGTTCGTGTTCAAACTGATCTCTGGTCTGTCTGCGTTTGAGCCGTTGAACATAATACTTTCTCCTCGTATCTGTCCATTCTGTGTGGTGTAAAGCTCTTCTGTTGGAGTCAAGTGTGTATAACCGTCCTCCACGACAGAAGAATACCCGTCCGTACAGATTAAAGAATCATGCTGTCCCCAAGAAACTTCCAAAAAACTCTCGTTACACTGCAAAAGATCCACGGTGGATGACATCATCATCTGTCCATCACAAATGCTATAGACATCAGCGGTATTATCCATAAACATCTGAAAACAAGAGCTGAACGCAGCCATATTGTACAAGTTGTAATATAATGCAGAGCGTTTGTTGTAACAGGTTTTTTTGTAGGCCTCCAATTATAAGTTCACTGCGACGTTCATCCATGAATCTGTGCGGATCTCAATGGCTCTTTGATCCTTCTGAGAAAATGTTTAGATTATGTGACGAGGCTTGGAAAGAAGGTGATTTATACAGTACGTTTAACACGCGGATGATTTCAATTCCCAAGACTCTCTTCGTTTAGCATCTGTGTCCTTGTCATTCATCAAAAAATAATTAAATAATCTGAAGACACAAGAGTATGTCTCAAATACACATTCAATATAAACTAAGCAAAGTGATCATTATACAAAAACCGACATCACACCTTTGGGCATCCATTTGTCCAGCAGCATCCCCAATTACATTTCAAATGAGGTCACAGGTCAATACCAATGACAGTAAGTCACAATAGGATTCAAACATAGCTTTTTATTTAACTCAAACAGATGCAAGAGGCCATTTCATTCAGAATAAAACTCATAACATCGAGAGTCCTGCTTCTATCAGTTGCTAATACAGTGGTTCTACCCATTCACTCTCAGGGTGAAAAACTGCATTATATGACGAATATCCGTAATGTTTTATTTTCTTGTGTCATAGTGTGGGAATTGGAGAACTATTGTACAATTTACAAAACAAACGAACAAAACTCAAACTGCCCAACAACAAAACGAGAATCAAAACCAAAACTTCTGCCTAAACTAAGATTTACGACTCGTACTTTAACAGTGATTACTCTACATATAAAGCGTACTAGTGTCAAACTTCTCTGTATAAAAAAAAACCCAAGTAAATCCCAGTGGTTTGCTATTTGTTTAGGACGGACTGTAAACAGGATATAAACGTAAGGTATAAATTACGCACCTTATAAACACCACATATCCAGTGACTATTTGGTATAACAAAGCTTCTGAATTGCATAGGGAAAAATCAGCACATCCTCTTATGTGTTTAAAACTGATTTATAAAAGTGAGACATTTCAGCGATTCAGGCCTGTTTTATAAGAATAGCAGTAGTCCCCTTGATCTAACGCAGAACACGTACACCAATAAAACACATGTAAATAAATAAGCAATAAATAAAGCAGTAAATTAACATTTAATAACAACATAATTAACAATCTAGTGATTTAACTGACACGCATGATCAATAACTGGTGCATATTCAACCTGGTAACTAATTCATATCTTTGCAGTATTTGTAGTTTTTCCGATCCCTAAATGATAACGGATTTTGTTTTAATATTACTGTCTTTTCAAAATGTAATCTTGTCCACACATTAGCTGCTATTATTTGATGGAGTTTCTCTTTATTAAAGTATAATTGTGTTTTCAGCTTGTAGAAACTAAATATCTACACTAGGATGACATACTAACATGCACACAAACACTCACGCTTTTTACTTCATGGTAAAATGGGGAGTTTGAGTCCACTATGTGTAGGAACTGGAGTAAAAGCAGAACATGTAACTGAAAAAACACTTAAATTCATTAATTCCTTCACATTACAAAAACAAGAAGCAATTAAGCGCATCAGTCTTTTCTTCCTAATTACATCTATTATTACACATATACCATTTTTTCTTATATAATATGTTTTACAAAATACAACTGCTGTTATTTAAAAGTAATAGGGAGTAAATGAGTGTTTTCATTCAGTTTTCACTCTTTAATTTAAAAAAATAAATAAAAGAGCGAAACAGTACTTTACGAAACATTCAAGCGTAGGATTCATTCAAACTTCCTATCTTGGGATGAGCCTTTATGCTGATGGTTTCCACACAACAGTCTGTATACAGTCCCAACTGTATATTGGTCGGTTTACAAAATAATAAAATATCTCTTGGCAATGTATTCGGGATATTTGTGTAAATTTGACTTTGATGAAACCCAAAACGTACATAAAAATGCTCATGAACATTTCACGTTGGAATTCATTTGACACAAAATATACTTCTAATTATTCCGAAATTTAGTCAAAAAGTACTGTAAAGATTCAGTTAAATTATTAAGAGATGAGAGGAGCATTGGTTACCGATACCAACATAATCAGAAAAACACAAACGCGCTGATGTCAACCTCGCAAAAGTGACAGAGAGAAGACGGGCTCTCAGCCGCATCCCATCAGCTCTTCTTACCAAAGCCTTCCTTCGTAGAGCGGTCCATTGTTCAATCTGCAGGGGAATGGTTGAGAGGTTGAAAGCGACCCTTAGCAAGCACAGTCCTTGTTGGAGCGTTGTGGCTGCTCATTAAGCTGAGGGCCCTGCTTGTTACCGACGACGGACGGATCCGCCGACTCCACGTTCTCTGACATCCTGTCACAGATTATGTCCACCAGACGCTCAAATGCCTGCTTCACGTTGATGTTGTCCTTGGCACTGGCCTCAAAATACTCAAAGCCTGTGACAGTCAAAAGCCTCAAATTAAAATAAGAGCTATAGAAAAACATCCTGCATATGAAAAAGTCTTGTTAGACGCAAAAATGTAAAAAAACATTCTGTTCAGGAAAACTCACCTAACTGTTCGGACAGCTGTCTTCCTCTCTCTGAAGCAACCACTCTCTCGTCTTCCATGTCACACTTATTTCCCACCAGCAGCACTTGAGCATTGTCCCATGAATATGTCTTAATCTGGGTCGACCTAAGAACAATGAGAGGTCATTAGGAAAATGCATTTTAACCGCCTAATTACTACTGTAATTAAATAATAAAGAAATTAAATAATAATAAAAACCAGATAAATTCCCTTTAAAAAGGCACATAAAATAAAAGCTTTTGACATTGTGTCCTTGTGTACCAGTCATGACGTGGTAAAACAATAAGTGATTAAAAACTCTCATGTAAATCATATAAAGTTCTTATCCTAACCAGCTGCAACCACGAAAAGTGCCATGAAATTCTATCGTTGTTTGGTTCCATTCCATGCATTATCGGTTATAACGCATGAAGTAACGCAAGTTACGTAATCAGATTACTTTTTTCAAGTAATTAGTAAAGTAACGCATTACTTTCAAATTTACAACAAAATATCAGTTACTTTTTCAAAGAAGTCATGCAAGTTAGTTTGTTTTCCCATTTATTGACAACCGAGTTGTGTGAACATGATGGTTATTGTAGTTCTAGACTAAATGTGTACAGAGAGAAGTTGTTTCATTCCACTGAAAGACTGATTTGTAAAATTTTGATAAAACCTTTAGGTGAGGTCAAATTTAAAAAAGAAAAACGAAACATATATAAGGAAGAATCGTTCACAATAAGATTAATAACATTCATTTAGAAAAGAGGCAGGGTGTATTTTCATTCCATGCCAACTTTTAACATCACAGATGTTTGGACTCGCTGTGATCGTGTCATGTGTAGCAATTTTGTGTTCAGTGTGGAATCTGTGGATAAATTACCAGTGGCTTAACCATATCACATCAAACCAGGCTGATGCAAATATATAGTGTATGCTCTCAGGACAGCCTGCATTTTGACAGAAACTATGTCATATTTTTGCAAATGTGTCAATTTTATGAAATATAGACAAAAAAAGCACTATCGTACCAGTCCTGAACGGCATTAAAGGAATCCTCATTGGTGATGTCATACATAAGAATGAAGCCCATAGCTCCACGATAGTATGCAGTGGTGATGGTCCTGTACCTTTCCTGCCCAGCAGTGTCCTGAAATATACAATAGTTGGAATAAAAATGTCTTGTGGTTTCTATTAATAAAAACACCCCTTAACCAAAATCAATGAAATGTAGCTCAAATCAAAACTTAAGACTCAAGCAGAAAGAAAAACTGAAAATGACAGGATGCTTTAGAGATAAACTCCTTACCCATATTTGGAGCTTTATCCTCTTATCATTCCGATAGATGGTCTTCACTTTGAAGTCTATGCCGACAGTGCTGACAAAGGCGGGTGTGAAGGAGTCATCAGCATAGCGGAACAGGAAACTGGTTTTTCCAACACTGCTGTTACCAATGATCAGGATCTTAAACATGTAATCAAAGTTCTGATCCGTAGACTCTTTTTGTCCATATCGAGCATCATTTGCTGAGGCCATCTGCAACAACAAAACAGATTCACTGCCCAAGAAGGTCATTCTTAAAATAGCTATTTTATTTTCAAACCATACATAATAATAGTATTCTATTCAAATCAACATGAAACAGCCTTTGAGTCAAATTTCAGACAAATTTGAGTCTCAGTCCTAAATCCTTTTTAGAGGGTCTCTGAGAGAGAGGAACCGGAATTTTTCACAGATATGGGCTAAGTCATTTATGATATTTTTATCATCTGCTAAATTAGTAAATGTAAATGTAAAATAAATGTGAGTTTGAGATTTCGGGGGGGGGGGGGGGGGGGGGGGGGGGACCTTATCATGTGCATTGATAAATTAACAGATGTATAAACATAATACAAATGCAGTATTTTAGACAGTTGTTATGGTTAAAGTAAAATAAAAAAAACAGTTGGTTTTAATTTGCAATACTAATTCATAGAGGTAATCAATCAATAAAAAAATACATTTGAAAAAATTTAAATTGATCAAGCAACCAACTGCATTGTTTTTGGACAATTGAGACGGACTGACCCATTTCATATTCTCTCTGAATAATAAATATGGTAATTCAGTATTGCAGATTAACAAAGCCACACAATTTATGAGAACAGGTTATTTTAGTGAACACAGAAAGACAATGATTTTGCACAACTGAAAAGTAGAAACAAATAACTGCTGGATAATGTGTCTTTCCCAATAAACTAAACTGAAGTCCTTCTCGTGTATTCTCCAAACATTTACCATGGAAGCAATTAGGACAACTGACATAAATACAAGGTTGATTATTCATATACAGTACAATTCAATATGCATTGCACAAAGGCATCAGAAACGGTTCTTGGCAATGTGTTGAAAACAAATGTGTTTTCCTATTTGTTTTCTGTTTGCTGAATTACAATACAAATTCAAAGCGAATAGAGGGTGTAACTGGCACTATCCCTGTATCCTTCTGGATTGAGCTAGGCGGTCAGTGTAGCCAGGGATTTTAAAGGGTTTGTGCCGGCTAAACCCTGTGCTTAGCTTGTCAGGAACTGAGCACACGACGTTGTTAGGGAAAGATTATGGAAATATATTTCCATTTTCTAGTGGAAGACCAAGGGGTTTCCTTCCCATATAGGGAAAAACCAACCTCTCTTAATGTTCATTTCTGGTTTATTCAGTCTGTAATTAACCAGGCCACCTGAGCAGAGTCAGCAGACACATCAAGGCTAAATTCAAACATATGGTTCAGGCTTGGCGTACAAGATAGGAGCAGGAAACCGTCGCGTTTGAGAAGTGCTGCTACGTTCACAATAAACGGCAGCCTGTGTGAGCGAGTCTGCTGGCTGCTGTATGGCTGATAATGGTTAAGTCCGTAGAGCTCTGGTTAGCATCTATCCGCTTAACACACGGACTGATTTCCATTTTCATTCGGGTCAGTGAGTGACTAACACAGCATCGATCAAACAAACAAACAGATAGCATCCATCATAACTGCAAGCGAGCGACAGTGTGCTGAGTGTCAAAAGCCAGTTGACATGTTTTAGCATGCAGCGATGGATTATTATACAGCAGAGGCTGTTTATGAGCCACCCCAGTTAGCGATGTCAAATGTAGGTTACGCTGTTTTAAAATTAAAACCACTAATTTCCTAAAGTTTCTATTCGACTTCTTGGATCATTTCGAAATAAAAGCAAGATTAAGCGTCATGATGTTGCTAGAGAAAGCCCAGCTTACCGTAAGAGGAGGTTTATTTGGTGTGGTTTGGATGCAGTTCCCAGCCTGTGCACCTGCGCTCGTGCTTTCGTCACTCGACGGGAGTCAGCTGGGGGCGGGGCTACACAATGATTGACATGTCACTTTAGCGGTCTTCTGGATGCATGAAGCAACAAGACTATTCAGATTTGTAGGCCCGGTTTCACAGACAGGGTTTAGAGATTAAGCCATGATTTAGTTCAATTAGGACATTAAAGTAGCTTTTATAAACGTGCCTTAGAAAAAAAAAAACATTACTGGTGTGCATCTTGAGATGCAAGCACTGACATATTTTAAGATATGTCAGAGCAAGTTGCTTTCAGTTAAAACAGTTCAAACATGCATTTTAGTCTGGGACTAGCTGAAGCCTCGTCTGTGAAACCAGAGGTTATTTTTTATAGACTTTTTAGACGTTTTTGTTTAATATCAGGGAAGCCCATTTTATAATAATTTTGTAGCCTACAGTTCATAATTTCAATGAAAATTCTTAATTATGACATCATAAAGTTGAAATAATGAAGTTATGACAAAAGTTATGAGAAATACGAAATTATGAGAGAAACAGTTTCAACATTTTATGTCATAATCCAGACTATTTATTTTTGTCAAAATATGTCTCAATTATTTGACTTTTCGATGTCATAATTATGGTTATGATTCCAAAATTTCAACTTCTTATGTTACAATTGAGTTTTTTCATAATTGTGACTTTTTATGTCATAATTATTCTTTACCAAAGAAGGGGTTTTCTCATGTGGCAAAAATGGGCTGCCTTCCATATAACACAAAGAGTCCAGCTTACTAATATTTCTTTGTTTATTGGCATTGGGAACAGGAAAACAATCACAGCAACATTAGTAACAGCGTTGTAGTGGTAAACAGTACTGTTGGGATTGTCAGATCTGCGACAGAATGAGACCAAACACAGGTGTGCGTTGTACAGTCAGGCGAAACTTTGCATGGCCACTCAGCATTTCTTTCACCACACGAAACATTGCCGTTAAAAGCACAGACTGACATTAAAATGAACATATAGCCAATAATTAAAAGCCCCGTTTACATACAAAGATTCACTGTCTCCAATATTAAAATTCATACCATGGTATAAAAAGGACACAAAACAAATCTGACTTACAATGAGCACATTGCGTCAGAAAGACTTGTTATTTATCATGAATAATCTTAAATAAAATTTCAGCTTGACAAAACAACAGTTTTGAATAAAGAAGAAAGACAACTAAATGATCCAATCAGTATGTTACTGACAGTAGTAGATGTCATTGATGGAAATTAGCCAGTGGCACAATGGAAATTACAGTACAGCATGGATCATGCTTGCTTGGCACTTGTACTGTCATTGGCTATGTCCCTGTGAAGAGCAGAGCACTGATCAATCGCCAAAAACAAAAGAACATAAACGGTTTGGCACAGAAAACGAACTTTGGCTTTAGTGTTAGACAACTGAATTTCTCTTGCAGCGCTCAGCTCTTGTTTTAGAACAAATTGCTCACTTCTGTTTAGACATACATTTGTACAGATGGTAATATACCTCATATTTTTCAGTGTGACCAGCACAGAAACAGAGAGAAAGTACAGATGTGGTTTAAGGACACAGATCACTTCCTACACAGCTAATCTGGGTTTCCGTTCTAGCTCAGCCTTCCAGAGACCACCTTACAGGGTACGTACACATGCTGGTTACCCTGCTGACCACAGCCAATCATAGTCTTCTGTACGCTAATAATGACTCCAGCCCTTAATGATGGAGCAACGTTTGGTAATGACAAAGATATCTCTAAAGTGCTACCTAAGCAAGCCGATTTAAAACAGTGACATACAACGTATTAATGCTTGCGCTCATGCTTTGGATGAAGCAGAATAGAAAAATAAACGAGAAGCATATGTAAACCATGTGAATGTCATAAATTAAAGCAGCAATACTACAAATAAATGTGAGGAGGGTTTTAAGTTAAAATTATAATAGTCAAATGAGTTTCATCTGTGCAAAGGAACAACAATACAAAGCCATGGTGTTCAGCTGGAGTGGTAAATCCTATAAATGTGGCTCCAGTTCCACTATTAAGCACTAGGTGGCGTCACATACAAATACAAAAGATCACAATCATGGCTCGACTTCAGTCTACAGATTTTTTTAGCGATCCAAGGAAGACGGCGTTCACTATGTGGGTACCCTCAAGCTGTTTGCTACATGAAAGCAATCGTTTCTTTGAATCCTGAGATGTTCTGTTGTGTTAAGGTTAGGTTGTTTTTGTTCAGCTAATAATAGACCAGCTTTAAGTCAACAGTGTATCTTTTAAAAACATTTTAGTGCACATATGTCTCACACAAAAAGTGTCCTGTTTATCAATCAATATGTTCGGACGGCTCTCAAAGGTCCACTTGTTTGTTAACTTTAAACCTGGGATGTCACAGGAAGACATTTGAGTACATTTCCTCTGTCCATATAACACAGGCAGTTCCCAGCATCCCGAAGTCATGAAACTGTTGAGAACGTTTTAAGAAAGCTTCATGGTTTGACAGTCTGTAGAGTAGGAGCTCTCTCCAGTGCAAGGTGACTACTGTATAAAAAAACGTCCCATGGAAGCTTTCCCACCTATCCTTTGCTCTCCTGCACTGCGTCGCCTCTGCCCGAGGAAGCTAAGAACGGGATGGAGAGGGATAGGGAGGTGGCGAAGAGGAGGTACGAAAGAAACCGAAAACTAAACGAAAAAGTGCACTAGTGTTATGTTCCCAGGCGCAGGCACGATACGCTTTTCCCTTCTTGGTCAAGTTCTCTATCTTCATCTTCACTGTCTGGCGGCTCACCAATCTTAAAAGACATTGTCCTGCAGCCAGGGGAGCGGGCGGTCAGGTTGGTGTGATGTGTGCGGGGAGCCGAAGACGGATGTTTGCTTTCTGGATCTGTCCAGGAGGAATCCTGTGCAATGGTGGTGAATTCTTCGTCCACCGGACTTTCAACGTCAGACTCCCCTTCCTCTTCTAAGGTCAGTTCGAATTGGAACTTCTCCCCCGCTGAGGCGATGCCTCCACCCATCGCTCCCATCCCAACCACACCGCCCTTTTCCTCAGGGGTGGAAGTGGGACTGTGAGGGATCATGCTCTGGTACCACTCACGATTGTCCTCCAGCGTGTCGAGAATCTCCTGGGCATCAGGGTGAACCAGATCCGCCCAGGTCTCCCACAGTGGGTGCACGATGTAGTCAATAAAGCCCACCTGATGGATGAAGCGTACACAGTCAAAAGTGGATTTTCACTAATAATTGTATACAAGTGTTGGTACTCATGTTACTTACAGATATAGTATCCCTATATTAGATATTATGAAAAATAGATATGGAATTTTATATATATCCATATATTTGATCTTTATATATACATACACACTATATACTATTTTTATTATGGTCCTCCAGAGTGCTGAGCAGGAATCAGTGTTATATTAGTATTATTTATGTATTATTATAGTCTACATTAATATTTTTAAAATTTTGTTTATTTAGTTTTTTTATGTACATTTGTTTTAGATTTATGTTCAGCTTTAATTAATTTTACATCAGTTTAGATAAATAACAACTTATTTTATTTTAATTAGTTGCCAAAGCAACATTTCTAATTGTCGTTTTAGTTTTTTAATGTTACGTTTTTCCTCTTATATTTATATTTTATTTTAGCTTTATTTCAATTAACATAAATGATTTTTATCAACACACTAAATATATTATATTATAATTTAACAAAACTATTATAAAACTATAGATTAATCTCAATAACAAAATGAGGCCCGAAGTCTTCAAAGACTGTTTGAAGGCCTATCATTTTCCCCTCACTCACCTGTGATTTCTCAATGGAAGCATTGTGTTTATCACACATGGGGCTGATCTCCATGCCCTTATCTCTCTCTCGGTCCCCCTGAGTAAAAAACTCCACCATGATGCGATCGGTCCACTGACGGTACAGCTCCAGGGGCTTTGTTGGGTTGCTCAGGTCAGCGCAATGCACCATGTTCTGAAGAACCTACGCATTTGATTAACCATACATTTTTAATTATGGACTTTCAATTTGTATCAGTATAAAATGGCTTTGAGCCACGAAAGCTGAAAGTATACCTGTATGCGATCAGAATAGTTGTCTAACAATAGCACACCCAGACTTGTCACCTTCTTGGTCTCTACCATGGTCTTGAGATCCGCTAACAGGTTCATATGCTTTGACATATCAGTGGCTAGTACCTGTAAGGAGTTAAATACACGATAAATAAATAAAACCAAGTGTTGATTGTGGTTCTCAGGCTTGGACCTCTTCATCATAGCCTCACAGATTTGTCAATGCCTCCATTTCCTCACCATGTCAATGACCATTTTGCGTAGAGACTGCCTCTGTTTCTTGGTCAGATTCTGGAAAATGTCACAGTTTTCTTCCTGCAGCAGTTTGAAGCCAACAGCCAGGTGGTGGTTCTCCAGAACAGAGGAATCGTTGTACATAAGAGCCAACTCTGAGTCTGAAGAAAAGTATTAGGCTCTTAGTAAACAACACAGTGTGCAACCACAATGACAAGATGCTGTTGCTCTGCCGTGGCCACTCACTTGTGTTGATGAGGAACTGGTTGGACACTCCAGGGTGGTCCACGTCATGTATTGCACTAGCAAACATTGCGGCCAAGATCTCAAGGTCGGTGAATACAGCCTAGCAAAACAGAATTCCGCAAATGAAAAGCCTCGCTTCAGAGACTAATGAGCAGATGATGAAAAGGGAGTTGATTGAGACAAACCTCCAGGGCAGGGGTGGACAGCAGGACATTGGTGGACTGGACCACGTCAGCTGCATGGATGCTGTTATGGTATGCAACATCTGAGTGATAGTTCTCCTCCAATGCCATCATGTAGGTAATGAATGTGTCTACAGGAATTTTAAAGGATTTCAACAGGTCTCTTTCCTGTGGATTACAGGTTCAGGACACTTGTTATTGTCATGGTTTGAACAAAACTACATGAGAAGTTTTCTATTCCCCGTTTTGTACCTGAAATGTTGTGTACATCGCTACTGTTAGC